GTAGGTGGTCATCACTTGTGCTGGACAGTCACCAAGAACAATGCAGGCTACTTTTGAAGTAACATCCTCCTCTGATGCCTATGGGCAAAACAGGTAGGTTCAAGCTGTAAATAGCACTTGCTTGAGTGGAGGCTGGGCACTCTGTCAACATAGGCTTTCTCCCTACACCTGCAGGTCTGCCTCCCCAAGCTCCTATTCCTCCCTTTCCAGGACCCCCTTCTTCTCTGTTCTCACATTCCCAGTCAGGAATCTCTTTTCTTTTGCGGGGAATCTCTTTTCTTTTGTCCATGGTATTTCTTTCCAAATCATTTGTTTATAGCATGACTCCTTTGTGACAGCAGGGTTGGCTTCATGGGTTTGTGACCTGTGCAATCACTCAGGGCCCTGTATTCAGCAAGGCCCAGTGCTTAGTTTAATGCTGTGTTGTTGCCATTTTGACATTTTAATCAGTTTTGCAAAAAGGCTTAACATACTCATTTTTCACAGAGTCCTACAACAAATTACACAGCCTGTCCTATCTGAGAATGTTTGTGTTTAATACTCATAAGCCAGGAAGAAAATGAAGTATTCTCTTCTTCTTTTTCTTCCTCAATTCCTCTCCCTTTCTGCTTTCTGTGGTCACATCCCATTTCTAAGGCCATAAGTGCGGAACAACGTAGCTGACAGAAATGGAGATAAGGGGAGAGCCATGGTGAAAAAAAATATAAACATTTGAGGAAACTTTTGGTATTTCAAATATAGTTTTGTGTCACATGGACATAGTGTGCTGTTGTATTAGTCCATTCTCACATTGCTATAAAGAACCACCCGAGACTGTGTAATTTATGAAGAAAAGAGGTTTAATTGACTCATAGTTCCATAGGCTGTACACAAAGCATGGTTAGGGAGGCCTCAGGAAACTTCCAATCATGGTGCTTCGAAGGGTGAAGAGGAAGCAAGCACCTTTTTCACATGGTAGAGTGGGAGAAAGGGAGAGTGAAGGGGGAAGTGCTACACACTTTCAAACAACAGTTCTTGTGATAACTCACTCATTATTATGAGAACAGCAAGGGGGAAATCCACTGCTGTGATCCAATCACCTCCCACCAGGTCCCACCCCCAACATTAGGGATTGCAATTCCATGTGATATTTGGGTGGGGACACGGAACCAAATCATATCAGCTGTTGTTGTTTCATAGTTGTATAAATTTGGAAGTTATTGGTGAAATACAACTTCTGTCCCTTCTCCTTGAAACAGCACTACCTCTGTCTGCCACCCACAGCTTCTTACATAACAGCTGTCTTCCCTTCTCTACATTTATTCATTCCAGATGAGTTGGGTTAGGATGCTCAGGTCAATGACTAGCCCCATTCCAGAACCCTTTTATTGACTAGCTCATCTAGGCATTTAATGTTTTGTATGGTTCAAAAGTGTTTCTGATGAAACTGCTCAAGAAACTATATCTAGAATTAGCATCTTGGATCTTACAGGCTGGTGATCTCATTAATGTAACCTTAGTCAAGGCTCTTTAGATTTCAATCAACAGAATGAACCTTAGGCTTCAAAACGGAAATCATCATGAGGCAACAAGGTATTAATACATTCTTTGTTCTAGAACAAAATAATAGAGTACCAATATTCATGGAACTAACATTTTTAGGATGTCATAGTATTTGTCAGCTTACATATCAGGGCAGCTTACATTCAATAATGCTTACCATGAATTAGACACTAGGCTTAGTGCTTTACACACATTAATTTATTTTATCCCCCAAACAACGATAAACGAAGTACTATTTTTATTGTCCACATTTAGAAGAGGAAGAAATGAAGACACAGAGTGATTAAGTAACTTGTGTGAAGTAACATTGCTGATAGGTACTATAATGGACTTGGATCCAAGTGGTTTGGGTCCAGAATCGGTGCATTTAACCACCTCCAGTTGCCTCTAGTGTATCGTGAAAAAACAAGTACAGGAAATACAAGCAGGAATTACAAGGCTTGAATCTAGGAACTTGGAAGTTGTCAGGAACCGGGGCTGTATTCTCTTGGGCTTATTTCCTCGTAGTTGTGTAGTTTATTTCCTCTCACTGCTTTACTCACTTCTCTTTGTCTCTGCAGGTTAGCATTATCAGCTGCTTCTTGAACACAGGTGAAGATGGTCACCTCTCTGTGGCAGCCTCAGCTCTTACCTGTACATCAAGACTATTCTAGCAACAAATTGGGAGCTTGAGTCCCCATTTTCAATTCTCAAAGGATAAAGAGCCCAATTGGCCCAAATGGTCTCAGGTGTCTGTCTACTGTTTGTCTAATCAGCCACGGTGAGACAGGTAGGGGCTTTGTATAATATAAACAAGGCCATGGGGGCCCAACACTGTGGGTAGAATCATTTCCAGTTAAGGGGTGATGTGGGTGAGGCATATCAAAAATATCTCCCGCAGCTACCTCAATCCAGGTATTATGTAATGAGAAGATCATTGATGACACTAATCCTGAATAGGTACAATTTTGGGGAAGACATGTTGAAACCTCAACCCCCAATGTTACTGTTTTTGAAAATGGGGCCTTTAAGGAGGTAGTTAAGGTTAAATTAGGCTATAGTATGAAGTTCTAATTCAATATAACAGGTGTTGTTATAAGAAGAGAGAGAAACCATGTATGTGCTCATACAGGGAAAAGCCTATTTGAGGATGCAGAGAAAAAATGGAAGCCAAAGACAGAGACCTTAGGAGAACCTGAACTTGCTGACACCTTGATCTTGGACTTGCAGCCTTCAGAACTGTGAGAAACAAATTTTTGTTGTTTAAGTCACCCATTCTGTGGTATTTAATCAAATCCCTAGTAAACGAATACATAATGTAACCTCCGTGTGCCCCTACTTATAATACATGGTTTGCAAAGCGTACTGCAAATGATACTTGTATTAGTTCATTTTCACCCTGCTATGAAGAACTATCTGTGACTGGGTAATTTATAAGGGAAAGTGGTTTAATTGACTCACAGTTCTGCATGGCTGGGGAAGCCTCAGGAAACTTACAATCATGGCAGAAGGGGTAGCAAACACATCCTTCTTCACATGACGGCAGGGGAGAGAAGTGGGCAAAAGCCTCTTATAAAACCATCAGCTCTCCTGAGAACTCACTCACTATTATGAGAACAGCATGGGGGAACTGCCCCATGATCTAATCATCCCTCACAAGATTCCTCCCCCGACATGTGGGGATTACAATTCAAGATGAGATTTGGGTGGGGACACACAGCCAGACCGTATCAATACTCTTTGTAGGTTTCTCCAAATCTAAGCTCAGATGATTCTGCTTGATTATGGTATTGTGTTTGTATAATGTGTGTTGGCCACATTGATTAAAAGTAATACATATCTTTGAGAGTTATGAGACAATTTCAGGTAAAATCTATTTTGTTGGCTTTAACTCATTTTGTCTATTTTGTTAAGACACAAAAAACGAAGATTCAGTGATGTGACTTAACTACTTTTTTTTTTTTTTTGAGATGGAGTCTCGTTCTGTCACCAAGGCTGGAGTGCAGTGGCACGATCTCAGCTCATTGCAACCTCTGCCTCCCGGGTTCAAATGATTCTCCTGCATCAGCCTCCTGAGTAGCTGGGATTACAGGTGCCCACCACCAAACCCGGTTAATTTTTGTATTTTTAGTAGCGACGAAGTTTCGCCATGCTGGCTAGGCTAGTCTCGAACTCCTGACCTCACGTGATCCGCTCACCTTGGCATCCCAAAGTGCTGGGATTACAGGCTTGAGTCAGCGCCCCCGCCCTGACTTCACTACATTTTTTTGGGATGCCATATCTGTTGACCAAGAGCACACCATAGCTGACAAACAGCTGCTATGAATTTGATAACATATTTAAGCATTTCTTGATCAAAATGAACTAAAACAAAACAAAACAAAACAAAAACTGATTTTTTAACCCTTTGGTGCCAGTTGTGTCCTGTGATGTTTATTTGGTTAATATCACTTTGAAAAATAAAGCCTCTATAAAAGAATCCAATTCTCTAAATATCGTTGAACCAGGGAGGAAAAGCTGTGGACTATCAGTTTTTATTAATGTAGCTCAGGATTACATTAGCTCTTTTGGTAGACATTTCTCCTGCGGTTGATCTGATTATCACTTCTTCAGAAAGTTTCTCTTTTATGTCTTTCCATAGAAACCTATGCAGTATTCTATTACACAGAGATTTGTAGTCATTTATTAGTCTTTTTCTCTCACAAGGCTCTGAGCAATTTGAAAGCAAGGTCTATGTTTATTTATTTTCACTGCACCTTCAGTGTATAAAACAATGTCTGGATCCTGGAAATATCCAGCATACATTTACTGAATTATATGAATGAATAGAATTGTTTTAAAAGTTAAAATGTTAACAAATAAACAGTTATTATTATGCCTCTGCATGCGTATGCGGCAATTTTATGGCTGTTCTGAATTATCTTAAACTCTGTCCGGTGGAGTGTATTCTTGAGGAACAATTTCAAATAAGCAGCTTGAAATTGCAAATGCATAGGAGGTCTTTAGAAGAATTATTTTATGTTCAAACCAATATGAGATAGTTTTATGTCTCAGTGTTGGATAGACAAAAATATTCGAATAATTCGACTCTATCAAATTTATGTGCTAATTATTTATGACTCTGCCTGTTGCGGGGGAGGGGTAAGGAGGGACGGAAGGAGAGAAAGGTGGAGAGAGAAAAAGAGACAGAGAGGGGGATATGAACGGAGAAGGGCAAGTGAGGAAAGGGTGAGAAGAAAGATGAAAATTTAAAAAAAAGGTTAGGTCTCTTTGAAGGGCTAATAGAGGAGACCAACTGGTAAATGGAGTATAGAGCACAGAATTATTACATTAAGGAACGCTTGTTATTAAACATTATCTAGCTCTTCTTCACGTAGCCAGGAAAGCTTTCACACATCAGGTAATACTTGAGTTTAGCCTCAAAGAAGGAAGGGGAAGTGGTCTTTTTGGCGGAGAAGAAGGGCAATTTACATGACTAATTTGTTACTTCTTAGTTTTTCCAAAGTTCAGTTTTTTTATTGAAGTTTTCATTCTCTTCGTGACTGAAACCAACTCCCCTGAGTGGAAAACATTTCTTTTATGTTCTAGAGTGAGGGGATGACACCTAGACTGAAGTAGCAGCAGTAATGAGCTGACAGCCTCATATCTACTTTCGGTGTGCCGGGAATGAGCCATAGGATCTTAGGCAAGTCCCTTCTTCTTTCCAGGCCAAACAGGTTGGACTACATAATCTTCTCTGTTCCCGTCCGGTTCTAAGAATTTGTGAGTCTTTGGAACAATATACTGGACGCTGGTATTAAGGAGATTTTTACATTTCAGTGCTAGAAATTGTTCTTCCCTGTCCTCCCACCGCTCCCTTGCCCTTTTTCTACCACTTCCCCATCTTACCGTAGTCCTCGGGGACTCCTTTTGTTCCCCAGGGAGTAAAATTACAGTCAAGGTTAAGGAAGCATTTTTATTCACTTTCTATCTGGAGTTTGCCTCCTACAAAGGAGGCTCGTCCTTTAAAAAAAAAAATACAGCAGGGCAAGAGGGCGCGGCCGAGGGATCAGGCTTCTTTTCCGGGAAAGTTACCCGAAGGCCAGCTGTATGTCATCCTGGGATTTGTAGTTCCTTTTCCGGATCCTCTCCCTTGGTAACTCCTTGATGGTGAGGCCGAGATGGACTACAACTCCCAGAGGGCCAAGCGGCGGCAGCGGGGTCTTGTACTCTCGCTGTGGCTGGGCGGCTAGTTCAAGTTGCCATAGCTGCGAGTCTGGGGAGAGCAGAGTCGGTTGAGTCGCTGCGTTTGGTCAGTTGCACCTTCTGGGTCACTGGTAGCCGCGGGAGCCGGGTGGGGCCTAGGCGATGATCCGGCATTAAGGAGCTGGGGTCATCCTCCGTCTCAGGTACCTGCGCCCACCTCCCCCTTGCCCTTTTTCGACCACTTCCCCGTCTTACTGTAGACGTTTTAGTCCCGCTTCCCCTCGTCCCAGGGGTGGGGACCTCGGAGCGGCGCGGGATCTGGGGTGGAGTCGTGGATGGGTGGAGTGTGTGCAGAGGTGAGGGGAGACGGCGCGCCTGTCATCCCGAGGCCTCCCTCCCTCGGCAGGGGTGTCCGCGGTCAGGTCCTGGCCAGGTTATCCAGCGAATCTGGACTGCATTGTCCTTCCTTTGGGAGTAGCTTGCTCTACCGCTAGCATCTGTGAAGCTTTAAGGGACAGGAGATTGGACTCATTCGGTAGGTCCTTCAGAGAACCGTCTGACATTTGCTTGCCTGTCCTGCTATGGAACTTAATTTTTTTTTTTTTTTTTAAATACCTGTTTTGTAGTCACAAAAAGCTTGCTACTCTCGGGAACGCTGTATTAGTGAGCTCTTTTTCCCGTGCCATCATGGGAATTGCCCCAGCCTTAGCTGTTAGCTGTGCCTTAATTGAATTATTTCGTAAAAAAATACCTGACATTCAATCCCAGCTGCATCTTTTATTGGTTTGATGGAGCCAATCTGTTATGTAGGCGTCTGGTAAAACTCTGCCATTAATTGCAGCATTGATTTGAGTATTATGTAAAGTATCTAGCACAGTGCCTGGCACCCTGCAAGTGCTCAGCATTTGTTTTTTATTTTTATTAATTATGCAGATTAGTGTTGTCTAATACAAATACGGCGTGAGCCACACAGGTGAATTTAAATTTTTAGTACCAACATTAAAAAAGTAAAAAGAAACTGGTGAAATTAATTTTAATAGTTTATTTAGCACAATATAGAAAAATGTTTTCAATGGAGTAATATAAAACTTATTGGGAGTTTTACTTTTTTTTTTTTTTTTGAGACGTGATCTGGCTCTGTTGCCCAGGCTAGACTGTAGTGGCGCGGTCTGGGCCCACCGCAACCTCCATCTCCTGGGTTCAAGCGATTCTCCTATCTCAGCCTGCGGAGTAGCTGGCCACCATGCCTGTCTATACGTTAAAAAAAATACTTTAAGTCTTCAAAATCTGGTGTGTATTTTCCGTGTATAGCATATGTCAGTTTGACCTGGCTGGAGCTAGAGCTCAGTAGCCATGTGTCTAGTGACTACTGTACTGGACAGCCCAGAGATAAGGTTTAAACTTCGGCAGTTTCACATTGGCATACATAAATTTGGTTGTGCCTATGACTCATGGGTTATGGTGGCTGTTTTGTTAGAAGAATGAAGTGTGCAGTGTACGTATGTTCTCTCAGCATATCTTGTCTGCCATTGCATAACCTGAGTCTCTTTGAACTGTTTCTTGACAGTTTTATTTTGATTAGCTTTTTCAGAATACCTTTTTTTTTTTTTTTCCTTGAAATGGTTTATAGATGTATTCCCAGATCTACCTTTTATGTAGACAACTCCCAGTTCTCTGGATCACTTCCTGTGGATTCTTAGAGATTGCTTCGAAAGCAGTCACAAATAATTGAAAACATTTCTATCCATAGCTCTTTCCTACAACCAAAGGCATTTTACTTTTATTTATTTAATTGTAGCTTAGTATGGGAAGAACTGGACAGCTTATAAAATATTTCCTTTAGGAGTGTTAGACTGGCTTAGAAGTACCATTGGGTCACCACACTCAGAAGTAACAAGTTAACTGTATTACCTGACTTAGTTACCAACTTTTAGACATGCTCATGGCGTGGTACTTTTGGCTAGACTTGGGCTGCGGTTCACACTGGAGCATGAACTCTCTGGCAAGCCCCAGGGATGACCAGGCATGGATGGGAGTCGCCAGTAACAATATGTTGACTGGGCACTTGGATGTGAAGAATTGTAGTGAGGTCACTTGGGCTTTTGAATGATTCTAGGAGCATTTTCTCTGTTCTGCGTTATGCCATAGTCTGTACATAGGGACCTAATTTTCATATTTCATTATTTAAAAATGTTTAAAGTTGTAGGTATGTCTTACCCCTTGTTTTGTTTATTTGTAGGTGGTTTGGGGAAAGTCTAGGGGCAACCAAAGATCATCTGCTTGACTAGGCCCTTTGCCCTGAACCTCATGAAGAAATGATAGGAGGCAGACATATGTGCCTAAAAAGAGCGTTGAGCTCAGAGAAGAGCAACTCGGAGCTTTGGGGGTGTGCTTTGTAAGTATGCTTTCTCCCTGAATTTCGGAGATAACACATGTTTTTGCATATTTATGGTGGAAAAGACTATGCCAACAAATAGAGTTTTGGAAACAAGAAGCCCCTTTCTAATATATAGTATAAAAATAAAGTATAGAATGGTTGTGTATACAATGTTACAAACATTCAGATGAACAAACTAGTTAAGTTGAGAGGTCCTTAACCTTAATAAAAGCAACAGTGATGCAGCTGTCTCTATTAAACAAGAAAATGAGAACCTATTTTGTCTCAGGCACTCTGTCAGGCACCTTTTACAGGCATTATATAATTCCTTTATCATGCTTTTACAAAGGAGGCAGTTGAGTCGCAGGTTATTTGATTTGTTTGGGATTCTGGAGCCAAAAGAGTGGTCATTGTTTCCAGGTCTTCTGACTCCAAATTTCAGTCCCACCCACTGCCAAGGGGCTTCATTGCTGTTTATAAGTGCCCTCTAATAGAGTTTGATTCATATTCAACATTTTTGGGTTAAGTGTACCATATATGGCATAGTGTGTAGTTGATTCATCTCTTTCAATGTTCAAAAAGTTGTATTATCTTTCTTAGTTTTTTTTTTTTTTAAATATAGTGGTCCTTATATTATTATTGAGGTAAGAGATCATTATAATTTGTGATTTCCATAAATAAATTCAACATGAATTTATAATTGATAATTAAGGGTGTAATGTTAAAAGTTTAAATTTACAACATAGATATAAAAATTCTGGACCTTTCTTTGGATTTCATATTGTGCTTCAATAAAAGGTTCTGAAACATAGAGGGGAGACACACTGTGGCCTTGCAATACTAACACTGTGTGGTGGGGCGTGGTGGTTCACATCTGTAATCCCAGCACTTTGGGAGGCTGAGGCGGGCAGATCATGAGGTTAGGAGATCGAGACCATCCTGGCTAACACGATGAAACCCTGTCTCTACTAAAAATACAAAAAAATTAGCTGGGCGTGGTGGTGGGCACCTGTAGTCCCAGCTACTTGGGAGGCTGAGGCAGGAGAATGGCGTGAACCCGGGAGGCAGAGCTTTGTGCGCCACTGCACTCTAGCCTGGGCAACAGAGCGAGACTCTGTCTCAAAAAAAAAAAAAAAAAAAAGAATACTAACACTGTGTATAAGATCAATGGTGTACAAACTTTATAGGATTAGGCCAGGTGCATTGACTCATGCCTGTAATCCCTACACTTTGGGAGGCCAAGGCAGGAGGATCACTTGAGCCTAGGAATTTGAGAATACCCTGGGCAACATAGCAAGACCCCTTCTCTACAAAAAAAAAAAAAAAAAAATTAGCCAAGCATGGTGGCATGCGCCTTTGGTCCCTACTACTCAGGAGGCTGAGGTGGAATGATTACTCAAGCCCAGCAGGTCGAGGCTGCAGTGAGCTGTGATCACACTACTACACTCCAGCCTGGGTGACAGAGTAAGATGCTGTCTCAAAAAAAAAAAAAAAAATTAGGATTAAATAATTTTAGAGCTGGATGGGGGGCCTATTAGGATAATTTGGTCCAGAAATTTTGGAAATAATATAAAAATAATCTAGATTTATTAGATTATTAAAAACTATATTAGCATGTATATTATAGAATACACTATCCATGTAATGTCTCTGGGTTGAATCTGATATGAAGTAGTTTCAATACATTCATACTGTCATATAGTGTGTTTTCCTTTTTTGTAACAACATAGTGTTACAGGTCAGCACTTAGGATTCAACCTTGTCTCTTTTAACAGATACATAGTATCCCAGTGATTAGATACATTTAATGTATTCTTATCCAGTGGATTTATATTTTTTTCTTACTCTTTTACAAGTATAAAAAAATTCATTCACTCCATTGCCCAGGGTGGAGTGAATGAATGTGCTCATGGATGAATGGATGAATGAATTAAAATTTCTGAAGAATTTCTACAGTGAAATTCTTATGCATATGTCTATATGTAAAATATATCTATATAAACATCTTCTTTTATCTTCCTAGGATAATAGTCATAGAAATAGATTTTCTGGGTCAACATCTATGTATATTACGGATTGATTGATTGAGACAGGGTCTCACTCTGTCACCCAGGCTGAAGTGCAGTGGTGCGATCTTGGCTCACTGCAGCTTCTACCTCCCAGGCTTGAGAAATCCTCTCACGTCAGCCTCCCGAGTAGTTAGGACTACAGGTGTGCACTACCACACCTGGCTAATTTTGTTTTATTTTTTTGTAGAGACAAGGTCTCACTATGTTGCCCAGGTGCATCTCGAACTCTTGGGCTCAGGCAGTCCTCCTACCTTGGCCTCCCAAAATACTCTGATTACAGGCATGAGCCACTGCGCCTGGCCTGTATTATTTATTTTTACTTGTATTGCCAGGTTTTTCTCCAGAAAAGCTAATGTAGCTTTTTTTTTTTAAAAAATTTTTAATTTTTGTGGGTACATAGTAGATATACATGTTAATATAGTTTTTTATAGTTAATACTCTTACAACAAGGTATAACTTTGCTAACCCTGTGAGAGGTTTTTTTCATCTGTATAAAACAGATAGACAAGAATATCATTTTATTATTTTAATTTGCAATTATTTAGTGAAATAACAAGTAGCATTTGTTAAGGTCATTTGATTTCTGTGAATTGTCTGTTTATATATCTTTTGAGTCTTTTACAACCGGACTGTTCTTTTTCTTGTGTTTTTGAAAGAGCTGATTAACCCTTTGGTTCCCATATAACGCAACTATTTTTGTGAGTTTTTCTTTTAGTTTTTAAATCTTGTTTCTGGTATCTTGTTGTCACTAATTATGAATGACCCGAAGAGGCTTATCAGGCCTTTATCAGATATGTACACCTCTCTGAAATTTCTATAATGCTGGTGCTTGGAGTATTTGGGAGATGGGAATATTTGTGGTTACATGAATCCATTTAATTCATTCTGATAAAGACCTTCCCTCCTTCCTCCCTTCCTCCCTTCCTCCCTTCCTCCCTTCCTCCCTTCCTCCCTTCCTTCCTTCCTTCCTTCGACTCCAGCACTCATGCTGGAGTGCAGTGGTGTGATCTTGGCTCACTGCAGCCTCGACCTCCTGGGTTCCAGTGATCCTCCCACCTTGGCCTGTCAAAGTGTTGTGATTGCAGGCATGAGCCACTGTGCCTGGCTTGATAAACATTTAGAATCTACTCTGCCGACAGGGTTTGCTATGAAACAGGTGCTTGTGAATGGACGAATAAGTGCTTGTGAATGAATGTGCTCATGGATGAATGGATGAGCTTTAATTCTCTGCTTCCAGGCACTGGTCCATTTGATTCTGCCTCCTGCTTTGAGGTGCTGGACCAGGGTGGACTCCTGATGAAATCAGAGCAAAAATACAGCCTGGAACTGAGCCTGCTAGGTTTTGGTTGTGGAATAGAGATGTCTGTGTGGAAGAAAGCTTTCTACTTTTTTGAGTTTGGGCAAGTTAACTTTTGGAAGCTGTTTCCTTACCTGTGATATTGGTTACAGCTCTGTTTACTCTACAGGGCTGTTGTTGGGGTTAAATTAGTTAATACAAGTAAAGTGCTTAGAACAGGGCCTGGCACAGAAACGGGCCATTTAATTGTTGAGTTATTAATATTATTGCTTCTACCATGATGACCGCCACCACCACTACCATCATTATTGTATTCTTTAAAAATGATTAATTTCTGTTTCACTTAAGCTAGCTCATGTGTGTTCTGTTTTTTTGGGGCGACTCACAGCCTTAATTACAACAATAAGTACTTTATTCTTTTTTTTTTTTTTTTTTTTTTTTTTGTAGACAGAGTCTCACTGTGTCACCCAGACTGGAGTACAGTGGTACAATCTCGGCTCACTGCAACCTCTACTTTCTGGGTTCAAACAATTCTCCTGCCTCAGCCTCCCAAATGGCAGGGATTATAGGTGCTCAGCACCACACCCAGCTAATTTGTGTAGTTTTAGTAGAGACGGGGTTTCACCATGCTGGCCAGGCTGGTCTCGAACTCCTAACTTCAAGTGATCCACCCACCTCGGCCTCCCAAAGTGCTGGGATTACAGGCATGAGCCACTGTGCCCACCCAAGCCCTTTGTTCTTATCAGCTTATTTTGCTTTTAGGGAAGAGTACCTTTACTCACTGGTACACCTGTTTTTTTGTTTTTGTTTTTTTGCCTTTTCGCCACTGCCATTTACATGTAACAAGTGTATTGATTTAAAAGTTGAGTTTTGGAAATAGTCTTCTTGCCTGGATTTGAATCCTGGCTCTGCCACTTAAGTTACTTTGCTTCTTTAAGCCTTAGTTCTCTTTTCTATAAAATGGGGATGATAATAATAGTGTTATGAGGATTAAATGAGAGAGCATACGTAAAGCGCTTAGTACAGAAATTAGTCCATAGAAAACCATAAATCAATAGCTATTATTATTTAAATAAAGTTGAACATTATTATGCCTTTGTATAAATGTAAGCAAGTAATATATCATAGTCTCATAATTTTACAGAAAAGCAAACTAAAACAAATTTTCTTTTCTGTCTTGGTTTATATATGTTTCCAGTTGTGCGGTCTCCTAGTTATTTAGAAGGTTGCTTTAAGGTGTGGTTTGAATCCAGGCTTTTCTAGCTGCTTAACTACTGGGAGCCTTAGTAGTTCTTCATTTGCCAAAAAGGGACTACTTTGTTCATTTAAGAAGTAAATATTGAATGTGCCAAACACTAAGACACTATTCTGGAGCCTGGGAATAGATAAACAAGAGCTAGTATGTGCCCTTGGGGAGGTTAGAAATCCTCTTTGTAAGGTTGGCCTGAGGTTAAGCCAAGCTTTGCAGAGATACTTGACTGTATGCAAAGTACCTTTCATACCGAGGTGCTCAGGAAATGGTGATTCTCGCGTTTGTACCTCTGATGTTCTGATTTCCAGCTATGTGTGCCAATCGTTAAATCCAGTATGTTTCTACTTTATCGATGTTTTAAAAAACATTTCCTATCGATACCTTTAATTTTAAGGTCTGC